AGAAAATATTCAGTCGAAAAGATCGTCTGCTTTCCGTTGAAATGCGTTTGTGTAATTACCGTATTGTGCCAAAAGAGATTAAGCTATTGCCTGTTAGATAACTTCCATATTATTTTTAGTTTATTATCAGATTTCGTTGACGATATGGACACGGTGACCGAATTTTCATTAACATTGAATGCCGAAGGAAACCCCTCTGTCAACATGGATATAAAAAGTTCGGATAATATTTTAAACAAATTATTTTAATATGAAAAAAAGAACCTTAACCTTGACTGACAGCTTCAGTGTGACATCGATGCGCACAAGAAGGTTACAACCAGTTTATTACACGCTCCATGACACTCTGATCCTTCGTCATCCAATAATGAGACAGGACACTCGATCGTTTGTGTGTACATATATTCCTAAATTCTGCAGTAGAAAAGAAACACGCGTTCTAATAAATATGCAAAATGTTATTCAATACAACTGATTACAAAACCCGATATGAAGACATGTTACGCTATCAGCTCAACTGCATAGCTAATTACAACACGCCTTGGCCAATAGGTCAGCCTAAAATGTACTCAATGACCAAAAGAGGACTGTCAACGGGACAGTGCATTTTAATAAATCTCAGTCTTGTGCTTCAAAACGACAATCAACACTGTAATCATTTCAATCATCTGTGATCAAGAACAATACTCTTAGCAAATAGCACCACAGGTGGGTGAGTATGGTTTTGCGCTACCTTTAGCAATATTACAGCAACATAACATTGGGGACACCAGAAATGGGCTTCAAACATTGTACCCATGTGGGGAATCAAACCCGGGTATTCAGTATGATGAGCGGAAGCTTTAACCATCAGGCTACCCCACTGCCCCGCCACGAGTGGTCAAGCATATTTCTAGATATTTGAGCAGCCAACCTTCCTCTCCAAATGAAGGGCTACGAGTGCGTGAAGGCTAAATGTATTGATAAAATACTTCGATTCCAGAGACCAGTGCGTTGGAATGGACTTTAAGTAATCAATTTATTCCTTTCAAGGGACTATCTGCTCCGTATTGAAACCCTCCGAAAAGGTTAAATATCTGGCAACAAGACCATTACACGTGTGTCAATGAATACTTGCAACACAGAAAATCTAATGTTGCACATTTAGAATTTGCTAAACAGAAATAAATCACTTGCCAAATGAGTCGCCCAACATCTGGGATATGACTATCCTGCGAAGTGTAAGAGTGAGTGAGTTTAGTTTTACGCCACGTTTCGCAATATTCCTGCAATATCACGGAGTGGGACACCAGAAATGGGCTTCACACATTGTACCCATGTGTGAAATCGAACCCAGGCTTTCGGCGTGGCGAGCGAACGCTTTAACCACAAGGCTACCCCACTGCCCGCGATGTGTATGAAATTGGACGAGGAAACAAAATCACGATACGCAGATGTTGTAAAAGTCACGTGATATAGTGCATTAGCAGCTGACTCGCTCATATATTATTCATCAACATATTAGTGACAATATAAGCTTTTAGAAGCAATGTCAGTACAGGCACACGTCATTAGGGCTGTTTCTCGATTACACGACACCATGTCAGGCTCGCGGTCACACGCCACTCACTGTGGTCCTCTTGTGACCCCCATGGTGAAGTCTGAAGCTCTTCGTCTCGTTTAGACCGTTCCATGGAAATATCATTCATCTTCCAATACTGGTTTCGAGAGGAGATATCGCTTGTAAACGATCAAACGATATATATTCATGATTTGTTCTGACGACATTAAAGTTTACTTAAAATACCATCAAGAAATGGTGAAACTTATGCATTGCACATTTTAAAGCAATAAATGTTAGCACTACGTTTTTATGTGCCTGTTTGCTATGACGTTATGGTGTCACTCGTTCCCTCTTCCAACACTCCTGTTCATTTGGATGTATTCATACGCAAGTCTGCAGATGAACTTGTTACAGGTGACGTTTCGTTTTATATTTCTTTTAATTAAGTATGATATTGGATAATAAATAGAATCTCACGCGTCTGTCTTTTGATATCAAATATTTCAAATTATCGTTGATAAAAAGTGAGATAAATTCGTGGTGATATATTTGATCTCGAAAGACTCTCGGGTGAGATTCTCGATTTACCATTCCACTGAAATAGCATTTACCATTTGTTAACTATTTAGAAAGTAACACGAGGTAACAAGATTATGGCGTTTATGAAGCGACGTGCCCTCGAGAATGTGCCTGTGGGTATGCCGCCTTGTATTAGCCTTGCGCGTTTTAGTGCTAACCCTCTGCGAAAGTACCGCAGTTTAACGTGGACGCTGACCCCGGAGCTGAAGGTCAAACAGCCCTTTCTTCGGCTGATTATGTGTTGACGACAGCGTTATCAGTCTATCAGCCATTAATTTTCTCAAGTCATTTATGAAATCCCGATGTGTCAGCAAGAACTGAGCCGACGAAGACGTGTATTGGTTTCACGCTGTCGGACATATGCTGTTGTCATTATTGGTGGCCGTCGGGCTTTCATGACCTGCAATCAACTAAGCAGACCCCTTATTACCCTGATCCATACGGGCTATAGCTGTAACGTCTGATGGCATCGCCACTAATACAACTACTGCTGCTACTACTACTGCTACTACTGATGCTGCTGCTACTGCTGCTGCCACTACTACTACTACTACTACTACGACTGCCAGTACTACGACTACCAGTGCTACTGCTACTACTACTACTACTATTCCTGCCACCGTCAACCACTACAACTACTACAACTACTACTACTACTACTACTACTACTACTACCACTACTACTACCACCGCAAATTCTGCTTCTACACCTACCACTCGTCTGATTGCATCGCCACTAATACAACTACTGCTGCTGCTACTACTACTACTACTACTACCGCTACTAGTAGTAGTACTACTACTACCGCCAACCACTATTAGTACTGCTTCTACTACAACCACCGCAAATTCTGCTAGTACAGCTACCACACTTTCTGCTACTACTGCTGCTGCCGTTGCTGCTGCTACTGCCACTACTACTTTCACAGCTGCCGCTGCTACTGCAACTACTACTACAACTACCTGTACCACTATTTCTGCCGCTGACAGCACATCTACGACTCACTCATGGAGATTCCGCGTCTCAGTTGTTGTTCCTAGCAACCAATGAGTATCGTAAAAGGCACAGATCGCTGGAAATGGTACTTTGGATAATTGCATGTCAAGTGCTCATAATGTCAATCACTAGTTGGCATTTCCAGATTCGAGCATTCATAAACTCTCTCTGAAAGCTAGAGCATTGCTAAATGCTCTTTGAATTGCAAAGAAGACCTCTACTAGTTTTAAGCTGTATTCTCAGACCTCTGTTTGATTTGTCCTTGCTATATTATTTGAACGTAATTGGCTGCCAACATTTCAAACATAACACCATCAAACGCGTTCATTGAAGCTAGAGCACTATCACCCAAAATGATTGCATTACCCGCTGACTCGAGTAAACGAATATTACATTCCATTAATGGTATCAAATAACATATATACATGCAAGTTTAGTGTTACACCGACAAGAGGCGAGGTGAAATTGGCTTTAACGTCATGCTTGAGAATATTTCGCTCATATGACGACGTGCATGCGTGTGTATGTGTATGTGCGGCTGCTTGTACTAGCCCAGACTTAAGCTGGTTTTATAGGAATGAATGTTTGCGGGGATATAGAACTTCACTTTTAATACAGAAGATACCTGTTTCATAACTGATACCTACCTATATTTTAATTCCATAACTAGTTAAATAATAAACATTTCTGTATGTCCTTCTGTTACAGCTACACAGTATTCTTTAAACTAAATCCTAAACTCTTCAAACAGGATGCCAATATATCTGGCTACTCTTCTGCTCTTATCACGATCACTAACACTCTCCCAGTACAGCGATGGCCATCTTGGTGCAAGGAAAATGAGATTTGTATGCCCGACGTTTAATGATATCCACGTTCGTTGTGTCAACTTTAGAAGCTTATAGAATTACTCTCCCTTGGGACAATAAGCGCTGTAATTAACAGACCCTGTACCTTAACGGTAATCAACACGTCAAAGCCTAAAGGCTTATCGTACTTATATCTCTGTCGCATGATCAACATACAAAAAGGACGGAGAAGAGCCACACTGTTTTTACATCAACTGTCACAGTGACGCCATGCCTTCGCGAAACGGGTGAGTATAGCCTTCTTCATCATGAACACCCGCGCTGTTGAAGGTAGAAATCAATATTTCGTTGGCAAGAAACTATTTATACGTCGTTAAATGAAGCTGTATTATGTTGGAAAACGTAAAATGGTGACAAGATTGTGAAAACGATGTAGGTTTTGTGTAAAATGTATACGTGTCCTTGTCGACAGTGATTTATATAAATCTAATGTGTTACGTAATCCTAGAACACAATGCAAAATTTAACAGGGAACGTAAATATTTCAAGTTGATAGATTCCTCACATACTGACTTCTCTTATGAAATGGTTATCATAACAATCATATATCAATTAAAAGAATAATATGTACGTTGGGCTTGCAGCATACCTATAGTATCAAAATTCTGAACAGATGAATAAAATACCCAAAACAATGATACAGATCACGACAATTCACAAGGACTTAAAATATATTCTGTAGGACTTCATGAAATTTTCTTTCGTGAAACAGAGTTGGGGTTTAGGCTGCAAAAAATAAATTCACCATGAATCGAACTGGCGGCGCAACGCCACTTGTTGCAGCTCAAAACCATGTCAAATCTGTTCACTAACTCCGTTTTACACTCACCATACCAGAAGCATCTCCTGTGATCCATTCTCATCAGTCAACATATTTTTTCTTAATACAAAGCTAAAAACTCAAAAGTTTGTAAAGATATTAGAAATACATAAAACCTTATCGAGGGCTCTCAATCACTGCCGGATTAAAACGACAGTCAGCTGGAATATATATGATGAATATTAGACTTACCCATCAAGGGCCGCGGATGAGGCAACACTTCTGATATCCATAGTGCACGGTAAACTAGACGTAAGTCTCACAAGTATGACAAGTTAGAAGCTACGAATCTCACTTCTTGTCCTACCAGTACTAAATGTTCGCATCCGAGGCTTCAGGTAACGACGCCGCCACGTGACAGCTGCCATTCCTTATCGATTTTTCCCGAGCAACGTGAAGCGAGATCGTGTATCTTCGTATTTGGCATTCGGTGCTCTCCGGTCTTCGCCGATGCAGAAACTGCCTCGTAATAATACTTATCTTAGGTCTAGTGTCTGTGGTCCTATCAGCCGGGGATGTGATGACAGACTTTGGCGGCTCTGTTTAGTTAAACGTGAATTTACAGGATTATGGTGACTTATACTTACTGTCTGTTAAAGCTGGATGGTTGGCGGGTTTGTTGTTTAACGCCACACTCAGCAATATTCCAGCTATATGGCGGCGGTCGGTAAATAATCGAGTCTGGACAGTACAATCCAGTGATCAACAGCATGAGCATCGATCTACGCATTTGGGATACAATGACATGTGTCTAACAAGTCATCGAGTCTGACCACCCGATCCCGTTAGTCGCATCTTACGACCAGCATGGGTTACTGAAGATCAATTCTAACCCGGGTCTTCACGGGTCTTTTATCTTGATTTGGCTATGGAGTAACCACATGTGATTTCATGTGAGCAGGGGCGATGGGGTAGCCTAGTGATTAAAGCGTTCGCTCGTCACGCCGAAGATCCAAGTTTGATTCCACTCATGGGAACAATGTGTGAAGCCCATCTCTATTCCCCGTTATGATATTGCTGGAATATTGCCCACTCACTCTACGTTATACCTCAACTGGAGGATTTAAAAATATGTATCACAGGCAAGTGGCACTGATATGGGATTTGATTTGAATTTAATTTAGCAGTCATATATATAATAATGTCATCTCTGTGTCCGTTTCATAAAGCAGTCATTAAAATGTGTGTTATTTGCTGCAGTTCCATGTAAAGTGGGTTTTACGTAATTCACAAAGCAATCCACCTGTGGGTTTGTGTGGATGTTTGTGGGTGGGTGTTTGTGTAGATGTTTGTGGATGGGTGTTTGTGTGGGTGTTTGGGTGGGTGTTTGTGTAGATGTTTGTGTGGGGGTTTGTGTGGATGTTTGGGTGGGTGTTTGTGTGGATGTTTCTGCGTGGGTGTTTGTGTAGATGTTTGTGTGGGTGTTTGTGTGGGTGTTTGTGTGGATGTTTGTGTGGGTGTTTGATGGTGGGTGTTTGTGTGGATGCTTGTGGGTGGGTACTTGTGTGGATGCTTGTGGGTGGGTGTTTGTGTGGGTGTTTGTGTGGATGTTTGTGTTGGTGTTTGTGTGGATGTTTGTGGGTGGGTGTTTGTGTGGATGTTTGTGTCGGTGTTTGTGTTGATGTTTGTGTTCATGTGGGTGGGTGTCGGTATGGATGTTTTTGTGGGTGAGGGTGTGTGTATGAGTGTTTGTGTGAGTGTTTGTGTTTGTTTTGGTGTCGGTATGGTTGTTCGTGTGGATGTGGGTGTTTGTTAGGGTGAGGGTACGTATATCGGAGGACGGGTAGTAGGTTATTTCGTAATATATCGGCCCTTGCAGTATAACATATACATACCAGTTATGAGGAAAGCCAAAAACGTTTTTTCACAACACATTAAATTCAGTACAGCGACCAAAATGTTTGTGGTGCAAACAGAGGCCCAGTGAAGTTTTTTAAAACAAATTCCGAAACATTTTTTAATCCACAGTTCCGTCCCACCAGTTTTTTAATGGCTGATTCCTGATCTTGCAGCAATTGTTTTTTTCCTGAACAGACATCTACGTTAATTACACCCTCATTAAATGACACATCGTTGATTCAGTAAGACTCCGCTCCCAATGCAAACAATGCTAATGGAGACCCACAGGAACGAATGACAATAGTAAAGAAATTACACTTGCACCTTTAATTATTAATGGGTCGTTCAGCTAGGTAAATGCTAAGGTATGAATCAGAAGCGGGAAACAGAAATAATCAATCAATGTAAATATCGTTAGAAAATAAATCAACATTTCCTGTCCACGGATCATTGCTAGACAAGAACAGGTTCGACTTTATTACCACAAAACGTAATAAACGTCATGTTCTAACACAAATAGCCTTAAAAAATAACACATGGTCACAAAAACCAATGACAGTTGATATTGTTTGTTTTCAAACTGTTATAGGCATGGAATGAATTCTTCTACAGCTATTTAAGGATTTTAATGATGAAGGGAAATAAATAAACATAGTTCTTAAATTATTTAATTGGTGTAAATTTTCACCGACATCTGAATTATCCGACAATCTGTGAATTCCGACATATTTTTTTGGTCCCGACAATTACCACTGAATCAGTGGTGTCAACTTGAATTGTCACTGTCAGCAATAAATAGCTAGCCACACTGTAGACCATTACCGATGCAAAATGGAAAATCCACCACCAGAGAGACGAGAAATGATCTGACTATTGAAAAGAATATTCAAGTCATTGGAGATTCTAAAGCCCGTCCCCGACCTACCCAGAAGCAGCCTGCTATGATTGTGATAGTGGTACATGCGTGTATATTGTACTGAAGATAATAAATTTTATAATATACATGTACATGTAAATACAGATTTCTTTTCCATTTATTGACCAAGAAAATAGCTATTAAGCGTTCATTTCATTATATAACTGACTGAGTTTGGTTTTACGCCACTTTTAGCAATATTCCAGCAATATCACAGCGGGGGACACCAGAAATGGGCTTCACTCATTGTACCCATGTGGGGATTCGAACCCGGGTCTTCGGCGTGACGAGCCAACGCTTTAACCACTAAACTACCCCACCTCCCCTTCATTATATAAGCCAGTTACAATGTATGGTAGTGTTTGAAAAGTATTCAAGCAAGAAGACATTGAATTATCCGACACTCTGTATAGTACGACATTTTTCCCCGGTTCCAGTGAGTGGCGGATTACACAGAGTCCACTGTATAAAGCTTTGTAACCTATCGGGCTTAAACGAAAAAAATGGCTTGCTAGGCACCTGTAAACCGTATTGAGCGATTCACAAGAGAGACCAAATAAAGAGTGTGATAGAGCAAGGAATGGTTAGAAAGGTCCTGATAAAAAAAGACTCTCTGTAGTCGACCCATTTAGGAGATAAACATCATTTGTTGGCCAATTTCCAGGAGTTATTGAGTATTTGAAGCACAGGAATTTAGCCGGAGGTTTCAAATGAAATAATCCCGTGCTTCAAATACTCAGTAATACCCGGAAATTGGCCAACACATGACGTTTATCGACATTGCAAACACAAAAGTAAACCAAAAGGCCCAGTATTACTGTCTGCACTCATTGACATCGAGTAGGGGTACAGCAGTGAAGTGTCATCAGCTGACCGTTTCAGCTGTCTCCCATGGTAGCGCTAGCATCTGGAACTGCTCATGTGTGACGTCATTCCGACTTTACGTCACAATATGATTTGAATGACGTTACCACTGCTGACGACGTAACAATACAATGGTGTGTGCGATATTTGTACGTGTCAATACGCAGCGAATAGTCTTCCAATTTCCGGGAATCGAATGCCATTCGATCATGTTTTTCAACCAATCAGATTAAAGAACACGGTGACCTTGGGTTTACAATTAGTGACAAAACACTCTTGGCGTATGCTCTCGAGTCAAGAGGCAATATGAAAGTTTGACCACCAATTCGTTGGTTGGCTATTTTTGACCGTTGTATTTTGAGGTCATGCATCTGCTGCCAACAATAGCATCAGGAGTTTTATCCCCTGAATAACCAGGATGATGTGTTTATCCAAGCTGTAATGAAACTGGCCAGGTTGTCCAAACCAATTTGATTCGCCTCCTGTTCGTTTCCACATCATATTATCTATAATTCACAAACGGTTCAGATTTCATGATATCGCCAATGGACGCCGTTTAATTAAGTGCTCTGATGTACATTTGTCATGTCGAAGTTTCGAATGTCAATACTTCGGTGACCAGTTTCATAGGGAATGAAACCACCATGCCTCATTATTATTTTTTTATTATTATAGTATATTTATATAGCGCACATATCCACGCAACTAGTACATGCTCAAGGCGCTGGGTCCCGTTTCGGGAAGCAAGATGCAGCAGCTGGGTGATGTTTTAACCTTTCGGTATTTAACATTTGGATATATGATTAATTACCCTGGCAGAATAGCAAATAACCCAGACAAAGACACCATCGGTCGAAAACAAGCGAATCAGATAGCATTGAAGTCATTATCCCCAATACATAATTCATACCAAAATACATTAACGACCCATTTCATGCTGGCTTTGTGACGTGAACGTATAACATTAAAGGCAAGAATGTTCAGAATGTTAAGTACGCTGTAGAAATTCTACGAGAGGCTTTGGAGTCAGAAGATCGGTTCTCAGAACCTTCTGTTTGACTTTGGAGGCGGAGAACATGCCCAGATGGCGCGGTGGGAAGTAGGTCATGCTTTTAGTGCGCCTAGTCTTGATGGTTTACATGATTGAATAAATTCAACATTATTTTACTCATCCCACTCACTCGCACGCTCGCATACCTGCACATGCCTTCATACATGTCCCTCGTGGGACCTGTGAAGATCCGGTTTAAAACCTGTTTGTCGCAATAGGTGACTAACGGGATCGGTTTGGTCAGGCTCACTGACTTGGTTGGCACATGTCATTGTACCCCAACTGCGTAGATCGATGCTCATGATGTTGATCACATGATAGTCCAGACTTGATTATTTACAGACTGCCGCCATATAACTGCGTTAAATTATAAGCAATAATCAAACATGCCCCTCGTGGGATTCACCACTTAAAATCACACAAGCCGATAAAGAATAAATAATAATGTTGTACAATGACCGATTTATTATGAAATTATTGTCCAGGTTTTTACAAATCAATACACATTCCTGCAACGTTATTACAATGTTTTCGCGCACATTCCAGGGATAAAAAACACCGAAAGTTGTTTTGACTTTTTTGGAACCTCGGTTAGACGTTTTTTGACACGTCAGGAACAGCTA